TCGTGGAATAAAGTTTATTTCTGTGAAATAAACTTCACAGAAAAACTTTTATCCCACACGGAAAAAAAGGTTTGGTTGAATTAACCAAATATCTAGTCGAATATGAACAATCTAGAAATTCTGATTGAAGTAACCCATATTCTGTTTAAGGTAACAAGATTTTTGGTTGACTTAAACAGAATTCGGGTTACTTCAATCGGAATTTCTGGATCGTTTATATTCGCTCAGATACTTGGTTAATTCAACCAAATCTTTTTTTCCGTGCACAAATAAATTTTCAGTTATCTTTCTCTCAGTGTATTATGATACACTGAAGAAGAAATATGTATACAGAAGAGAATACTTGAAAATTTATTTGTGGAATGTGAGAGCCTTACTTGCAGAAATAAATTTTATTTTACGGAAATAAACTTTATATCCCACCAATAAATTTTTAACTGTTTCTTAATGTACTTATAGATACTTGAAAACTTTTATTTTTTCTTAATATCAAGATTTTTTAAATATTTTTTTATCGATATTCGAAAATTTATTTTGCAGAATATAAAGTTTATTTTTGTAAAACACAAGGTTTATTTCTGTGAAATGAAGTTTATTTATGTGAAACAAACATTTTACTCCATAAAAAAATTCTCAGATATTTTTTCTCAGTGTACACTGGAAAAAAAATACTTGAAAATTTATTTATAGGACAAAAATTTATTTCACAGAAACAAATTTTATTTTTCAGAAATATATTTTATATCACGGAAATAAATTTTATATCATACAAATAAATTTCCAAGTATCTTTTTCTCAGTGTAATGGTGATTGTCGTTAATAGAAAAGGTGATTGTATTTCAACAGAAATTTCTCGGACGGAGAGATAAGTAAAGTAGTACGGAATAAGATTTGACGGAATGTATTCATCCGTATATATTGAGCAGCAATGTTTACCGAAATGTTATTTACAAATTACTTACACTTTCAAGTCCTTTTAGTACGATATAAATGACAGAACGACGTCGGAATAACAGTTAAGCGCGATTAACAACGCATGTAACAACGCAACAATCTTTAGAATATTTTTCTCTTTTTTCCTCTTAATATCGCGCGTATCATAAAGAGAAGACAGAAGGAGAAAGAGCGACTGCGGAATTTGTCGCTCTATCGCTGGCACGTGTCCTCGCGAATTACGTAATTTCAATCAAAGCTCGCGAGACCTTCGCCCGTTTTAAGTGAAAACGCAGATGAGACTGGATCGCTAGATCGCTATCTACAGCGTCACGATTAGGTGACATAACGAACGTGCCGACTCGTCGACAGTACTCGAGCATACTCGCTCGATATTGGCCGATCGGTGTGATCAACGGCAAACGAGATATAACGAAATATGGAATAGGAGCGACGTGAACGCTGCGTAAAGTTCAGGAATGATATCGCGGTATCGCACGTGTGTGCACGCGCAATCGATAACAGGACGGAATAAGAGGGAATTAACCGATATGCGAGTCCGTGAGTCCAAATTAACTTCGCGGTTGAGTCGCAAAGTGATATTTTATCGAATGCGGGCTTAATATCGCGAAAGCTGTGGTTAAAGTGGACGTCGAGTTTCATATTTTTTTTGCAAGAATATACAGATGATCCAATCGCGTATCATTCGCGCTTACAGTACATTGATACGTGTTCCTTCTTACAAGTTTCTTTCGTACAAGTTGCTTGTACTGATGAGAGTTGGAAAAGCGAGAGAAATCTCTAGCTCGCGCGTCTCGTTTTCCCCGATTTGTGAATCGTTACCGCGATTAATACATTAACGAGTCCGCGTCGAATATTTGATGCGCGAGCACGGATCAATTTGTGCAGAGGTATTTTAGAAGGATGACAGGAAGAGGAAGATATACCGCGCAATGTGCGAGATATTTCCTTTCTGTTCGTCGAAAAGTTATCGATCATCAGTGCTGACCGCGTCAACGCGCGGCCGACGAGACACGAAAAGTCTCTTGTAAACTGTCTGTGCTTTTAACCGGGAAATTCGGGTTCACAGGCGTTCAATTAATCTGGTTTCGGGTATCACAATTTAACGAACCTTATTGTACATGCCGTATCGTTTACGCTACAAGAAGGTCGCTCGACACGACGACGTAAATACGACGAGATTTTGCGACTCATTGACTCCCATCAGCAGGCGACGACGATGTCCTCGCCTGCTGAGGATCACGCGTTTCTAGGGTTGCCAAAACCAAAAATCTAAATTACCGAACATTTTCTCTTTAATAACAAAATCTAACCGAACAGTAAATCATATATAAAACTAGGTACATGAAATACACAATTTAATAAGAAATTTAATAATTTTAATAATTAATTACAATATCGTTTTCCGAACACTATTTTAAAACAGACTGGTTGAATAAAATAATATAAAAATTACTATTATTTATAAAATATATTATTGAAAACAAAATTAAATTCTTTATATATATGAAATTTATAATGTTTTATACATATGAAATTCGTTGTAAACATTTTGTTAAAATATTTAAAACGTTTAATAACATATTAAAATGAAAAATTTTAACATTTATTAAAATATAAAATATATGAAATATAATTTGTGATATAACATTAGTATTATAATCTAAGTTTATAAAAAGGCCATTTTATTAATTAAATTTGTATTTCTCTGTATTTCTTACTGCTTCTAATAGATTTGGTTTAGATTTAGCATACTTTACAAATTCATTACATGACATGTGAAAATTAATGACAGTAAATAATTCAGCTTTGACTAGTTCAACTTCCATTCTATTTCTTGATTTTGTTCATACTTGCTGCATTAAGCTGAAAACTCTTTCTGGGAAAGCATTACTTGTTTGTATTGAAAGTATGGCCTGATCTATTTTTAGTAAGTTGTTTGTAGTAAAATTACACATTTGAAAATATCTATCTATGCTTCTCGCACTGCTTCTCGCAGTGCATGATCGTTAATGGACGCTTGGAATGAAAAAACATCACTGAAATCCAAACTCTATTTATAAATTTTTCTCTTTATAATATAAATGCTATATATATATTGCATTTTATTAGTTGGATGTATTTAAAAATCGAATATATGACGTTCGGTTTGACTAGTCAATCGGACAGTTGGCAACCCTACGCGTTTCGGCAAGGAAAAGGCACTTATTACATCTCACGAAATATCACGAGATCGCTATAAGTCAATAATCGTGAGTCAACACGAGATACTTGCGTGACGGTAACGCGTAAACAGAACGTCGAAGTAAACACAAGTTTGAAGACAGTGGTTTACCTTTTTTCTTCTCGCGGGATGACGCGCTAGTCAATTGTGCCTTGGGTTTCAGAAGCTTCGACTCGCGAAGCTTTTCAGGAATCCGAGCGTTATATTTCACGATATTTGGACAAATGTCTTTTTGCATGTCGCAAGCAGCGTTAAAGAGGACATGGTCGGTTGGTTCTTGCACTCTCATTAATTAAGCGGAAATTCCATTATCTTTTCTTATCGAAGTTGAGGAACGACGTCGATAAAGAACGCTTACCCCGCGTTAAATTTCATTTATATTGTTATCATCGTCCGGTTATCAGCCGTTCTGTAGGTTCCTACTCGACGAAAAATTTTGTTCTATACACGGCAAAAGAGAAAATATCTAAAAAATATGTGGCGGATACTAATATAACGTATTTACTTACATTGATATAAAATATTTTCCGAATAAAATTCCACATTCTATTAAAATAGTTCAGCTTTTCATTAAAACGATTGTTTATTCTACTTCAATAAAGAATTTAAATTCTTTTGTTCAGACAAATTTTATTCAAATCAAAGAATTTAGATTTAGGTAAATATATTATTAGCACCCACGGAGAAAAGGTACTCTTTCTATTTTAAATATTTTTCTCTATTTTTTAAATATTTATCGTTCGATTCGTCACATTTAAATATAATTTGTCGTCCGTGCACGGACATATAAATGGCACGAATCGGGTAAGTATAGACGGACCTTTAGATTGTGGCACTTCACGAAGAAATACCGAAGAACTAATCACCTGAAGCACGCACAGTTGAGCTCTTTCTTAGATGCGAAAGCAATCGAATTGCGTTCTGTTAATTACCGTTGCACGCGCCGATCGAATTTATATCTTATATCTAATTGCTTCGATAGCTTCTTAAGTGTCTTATCACTTTATCGATCGTGATAAACCATGTTGTGTACCTACGATTCTGTTTTTTTTCCTTTACGCATGCAATTTGATAAGTGGTTGTGCGACCGCACACACGTAAATAGACAAGCACTATACGTATTTTGCACTTTGCCAGTTGACATAATTCTTATAATAATTGTTATCTATCGCCTGCTGTGAAACTATTATCATTAGTAAGTGTGATAATTGCATGTGCATGACTCCGAACGAAACGTTTTATTTGTTTCAAAACTATTTGTTCATATAGATAAGCAGTGCGAAATATTATAGTTAGTTGGAAACGTATTACTCAATCTTCGCATCACATTCATGAAGATTGAAGGATAATAAGTGATAATAAGTATACAAGGATATAACAGCACTTGTAATGCTGATTTCATCCGTGTGAAAAAATTCGGATACAAAATATATATATTTTAACGGTTATAAAACGGCTATAAAAAAGAAATTCGAAAGTAAGAACTATCAATTTATCATTAATTATTTATAACGTTTATATTATATTTCGTTATAACGTCGAGATTTAAACAGAGATTAACTACAGATTTGTCCAATTGTTCTCACGTATCCGCCAAATTTTCAGTGCGACGCATACATAAAAACATCACATCTAAGATGGCATTCTGAAACGTTCTCTTTGAGGGAAATTTTACTAAAAATCTATGGTATATATAACGTGAACTGTAGACTTGCAGTAAGATTTTTCTCAAAGGAAACGTTTTGGCAAGCAACTTAAGAGGGAAAGATGAGATCAACGATACTCATGACATAAATACTTGAACGTCTTCTTTGCTTCACAGAGAAATGGAAGGTTTCTGGATCAGCAGCGCGATCCACGCGATCAAGGCGCTTTCATATGTGTACGACCTGCTGACGTTCCCTGTGTACCTTATATTGCAACGACCCTGGGAGAAGCGCAAGGCCTCTAGGAGGATCAAGGCCCGACCGATCTCCAAAGATGACACCACTATCACCTACAGAAGCGTCGACCCCCCGGGGCCGATACACATCATGCTCGAGCGCGAAAAGATCGAGACTCTGGAGAAGATGTTCCACTGGGTCGTTAAGATGCACAGCGACAAGAAGTGTCTCGGCACCAGGCAGATCTTGGCTGAGGAAGATGAGGTTCAATCTAACGGCAGAATCTTCAAGAAGGTAAGACGCTCTCGGGACACATCTTGTCTCGGATCTTATGCTGCGCTAACAAGATGAACTCTTTAATCCTTTTTAACGTAAAAAGCTCTTGCCTTTCATGGAGAGTGTGCTAAAAGCTTAATTGAAATAAAAAGGAAAAGAGGTGAACGGAAGAAAAGAAAGCGCAAATCGTTATTGTTCATTTCCAGTGTTGTTGCGATGCATACGTTTCGTCGTTTTGTTTCGTTAATCGCGAGATAATTAACTTTAGATTGTAAAATTCCATCTGTTTTGCAGTATAAAATGGGAGAGTACAAGTGGAAAACGTATCAAGAAGTCGATAGATTGGCCTCATCCTTTGGTCGGGGTTTGGCAGAGCTGGGTATGAGGCCGCGCAAGAACATCGTCATCTTCGCCGAGACCAGAGCGGAATGGATGATTGCGGCACACGCGTGCTTCAAGCAGAACTTCACGGTGGTGACGATCTACTCGACTCTAGGTAACGAGGCTATCGCTCATGGTATCAATGAAACCGAGGTGGACACTGTCATTACGAGTCATGAACTCTTGCCAAAGTTCAAACTGCTACTGGATATGGTACCAGCTATCAAAAAAATTATTTATATGGAGGACCAACTCAAGCCGACTGATACGAAAGGGTATAAGGTACGTTTTAAATATCATCTTTCATAAGAGGATGAATTATCATTTGACGAATGATCTTTGCGTAAGATTAGGAATATGCTGAATTTCAGTATAAACTCGATAATACTCGATCAATACAAACTTGATAATATTCATTTTTCTTTTATTTTTTAATATTGATAACATGACAGTTATATAATAGCAGTTATATAATATATAATAGCATTAATGGAATAAATATTGGGAAATATTGATTAATAATTCGCACATGCAATCATTGATAGCGATCGTATCGACCAAATCAGTCGATTAATGTTTCCTTCTAAAAGTTCTAATCTTAATAGTTCGCTTAATGGCTATGGCATTGAATGCGATTGACTATTATTGCATCATTTACATAATCGCCGATAATGTCGACACCAGCCATTTAGTGGCCGGTAGTACGTCATTTTCCTGGTTTTTCCTTCTTTTTCTTCGACGTTTTCCTTTACATGCTTTTCTTTTAGGCCGGCGTGCAATTAGTACCTTTCTCTGATGTCATCAAGATGGGCAACGAGTCGAGCAGGAGCGCAGAACCGCCGAAGGGCAACGACATCGCTATAATTATGTACACGTCAGGTTCAACGGGAGTGCCGAAAGGCGTCCTGCTATCACACAAGAACATACTCGGCACCCTGAAAGCATTCTGCGATGCAGTAGAGATCAAGCCAGATGATATTTTACTCGCTTTCTTACCACTGGCGCATGTTTTCGAGCTTCTGGCCGAAAGTGTGTGTCTTTTAACCGGTGTGTCCATCGGTTACAGCACGCCGCTCACGTTGATCGATTCTAGCAGCAAGATTCAGAAAGGATCGAAGGGTGACGCTTCCGTCCTGCGTCCAACTTGTTTAACTGCCGTACCGGTAAGTGATTTTACGAGTTCCTCGCAATTCCTTTCACCTTTTGCGCAAATCCTACAAGAAAACAGTAACTTCAAACAAAATTTTATAAACAATTTTATAAGAATTTTCACCAAGAAAAGAAAGATTGGTCGCGCTGTAACTGTAACTAATTTTGATGCTTGTTTCAGCTTATCCTCGACCGCATTTCCAAAGGAATAAACGAAAAAGTGAAGAAATCTGGTCCGTTTAGGCAAGCAATCTTCAATTTCGCATATGAGTACAAACTAAAATGGACGAAACGCGGATACGAGACGCCCTTGTTCGACAAGTACATCTTTGGACACGCCAAACAAGTACTTGGCGGTCGCGTCAGGCTTGTTCTTTCCGGAGGTGCCCCACTCAGTCCCGACACTCATAATCAAGTCAAACTCTGCCTGTGTGTCACCGTGACGCAAGGATATGGTCTTACGGAAACTACTTCTTGCGCAACTGTCATGGATGGTATTTATCCTTAATTATACATGATAGCACATGCTTCAACGTTTTTTGTTGCATTATATTTTTCGTATCATTTAGAATTTGACAGAAGTACGGGACGTGTTGGAGCACCCACCACAGTGTGCGACATCCGACTAGAAAATTGGGAAGAAGCTGGTTATCGAGTCACAGATTATCCACACCCCAGAGGTGAAATCTTGATCGGTGGTGACATCGTTTCAACTGGTTACTACAAACTGTCGGAGAAGACAAAAGAGGACTTCTTTCAAGAGGATGGAAAGCAGTGGTTCCGAACAGGCGATGTTGGCGAGTTTCATGCGGACGGTTCTATGAAGATTATTGGTATGAGTCATTCGAGATATGGTATAAGCAAAACTTTATCATTTCTATGAAGTATATCTCAATAAGTGGCATGCCTATTTATAGACCGCAAGAAGGACTTGGTGAAACTGCAACTCGGCGAATACGTTTCCTTGGGCAAAGTCGAAGCCGAGTTGAAGACATGCCCGGTCGTGGAGAACATCTGCGTCTACGGAGATGCGAATAAGGCGTACACAGTGGCATTGGTTGTGCCTAATCAGTACTATCTGGAGGAGATCGCAAATAGTTTAGGTATAACCGAAAAAAACCGGACAGCACTTTGCAATGATCCAAACATCGAGAAAGCGGTACTTCAAGAGCTTGTGGCACAGTCGCAGAAATGTAAGTTTCTACTGTGTATTTTGTACTTTTTTTCATTATTCTCTTTTATCTTTGCTATTGTCGATATCTATCAATGAATTCTTGCCACTGATGTTAATCGAGTTTATCGTCGAAACATTAAACTCTGGACGAGTTTCAAACCGCGACTACTCGCAGGTAATTTGCAACGATTCGAGATACCTGGCGCTGTAAAGCTGTGCGCGGAGCAATGGTCGCCCGATATGGGCTTGGTGACGGCGGCGTTCAAACTCAAGAGGAAAGCGGTGCAGGAGCGTTATCAGCACGAAATCAACCGGATGTACGCTTCGTGATGCTCCGCCATAGGATGCACAAAGTGCTGCGCGTAACGGGGATCGAAAACTAGGAAATAAAATCACCTCGTCCGGCAGACGGTACCTCGATAATCCTCAGATACAGAAAAGTTTGTCGTAAGCTCATGCCGCACGTCGATTACGGGGCACAATCGCGATCGGAATGTCGTGATGATGGTGATGGTGGTGGGCATCAAATCGTAAAGGACAATTCCGATTATTCGGCAAACGCGATCGGCGGCTAGCCGCCGATACGGAAGTCAAAATAGAGCCGGGAAAATAATGAGATGTCACACTACATTCGCGCCGATACGGAGATGCGTCGCGAAATCTTACGATCTGCAAAATGAAAGTATCGCCTCGCATTTCTTCGTTGGGTCTTCCGAGCGCGGCTAATTTTTCTTCGCATTTTTATCGATACCGACTATCCGTTACACGCGACTCGAATGAACGCGGCTTCGTGCAGCGGGCGAGCGAGTGAGCGAGCGATCGCGGAGCCGCAGCGGAATAGTATTGCGCACATCACTGAGCATCAATTTTGTGTGCGCATTGTCGAGCGAGCAGATCGATATGATAAACTTACCGTTGCGACACCCGCGCAACATCGGCGAGAAACAAGTAAATAGTGCAAGACGACTGTCTCTTTGTCGGGAAAATCGCAGTCGTCCTATTTTTCCTCTCACCGCCCCTTCTGCCTGCCATCCCCCCATCTTACCTTTAATATTGTTTTTTTCTATTAGATCAATCATTTCGTCGTGTTTGCGTATCGCGGTGTTAGCGTCCTTGCCTTAATCGTAGTCAACGGCCAGTCAACGGTATCTTCGCGAACGAGCTAATTTGCGCAAGTTTATAACTCGTACGGTGTACTTATTTCGAGTATTATTCAAAATCTTCGAGTTCTCAATCACCAGGAAAAAATAATCGCAAAAGCTTCTCATTTACGTACGATTGATATAATGTATATGTATAAAGAAGTGAATGACAAGGTTTGTGTTTGAATAACACATAGGTAAATTCGCGACAGTTTCTCATTGAGATGAATTTGTTATATAAATTATATGAAATTTACTCGATATTCTTATCACTTAGCATTACACTCTGTCTTATACTGTCTATGTAAGTATTCGTCGAGATATATTCTGCCTACTTTTTCGAAATGTTAATTCAGACATCACAAATATTTCTCCTAGCAGCAGAATTGTATTTTTGTGTATGTATGTATACATGGATGAATGTGCATAAGCGTGCATGACCGTTTAATTATTGTATGCTTGCATACAATATGTCCATAAGAAGATTAGGAGGTACAGAGATATGTGAACTTTTATGGAAGAAAGATGAAAACCATTAAGTTTACAAGTCTATAATTGTTCTATACTTTTAGTTTCCTGCGCTCGCGTCTCCACCGGCTCGAAATTGTACGGGAGTAGGCTTATTCTGACACGTGATGTAAAGGTAGCATGCAGTTTATATTTTTTGAGATATTAATATCTCGGGATATAAATATCTTCTTATGTTGTCGCACGTACAAGTAAACTTTAATAAACGATCGAAGATTGTTTTATAAAATTCGCTATTTTGCATGTGTGACTCATTTCTGAGAAATTCATCGTTATTATATATAATCTATTATATAATATGATATATGTAATCTATATTATATATAATTATATATAATATCATATACAAGCGCAATATTAAAATGTGTGCCGATACAATCCCCTGTGTTAGGAATAGCTTACTCGCTATTCGTCTCGCGATTTGTACGTTTTCGAGACGTACGCGAGTCGGCGGAGGAGACGACGCACGATGTTACGGAAACTTGCGCGGCGCATAATCGTGAATAGTGATTCTGTTTATAATATATATATTTAACATACAGATGTAGGAGCTTAAATATTTTTTTTGTATTCTTCTGTTTCGTGTTGCGAGACACCAAGTGTAATTAAGCGAGCGAGAGTTTTAAACAGTAGGAGCTAACACGAGGAGGTGTCATCGGTGGCAGCTCACACTCCCTTCTTCATTCGCCACGAGAGTTCCTGCGATATCTAAGTGTACGAGAGAGTCGGTACTAATTTTTATCAATTACATTAAGCGCTGTACATTACTTAGATAGGCATGGTCAATTGTCAGGTGTTATGGCATCACGATATACAATTATTATTAATATCAATAACATTATTATCATTTAAAAATAATAATTTACAGAATAAATGTACAAATCCACATGTCGCCGATGTAGACGTTCATTGTCACATCTCCGCCACCAAGTTATCCCACTTTTAACCATGCTTATCCTATCTATTCAACAAGTTTTCCGTGTAATGATATTCCAATCGAAAATTAAGGGCGATTGCAGGGAAACTGATTACGGCATACTTGGGGTCTTCCTAAACGCTCCAAGTATCATAATCAGCTTTCAGCAAGTTAACGATCGCTTCATTTTCAATTGGGATAACAATGCAATAATTACGAGTCAAGTTAAACTGGAGTGAATTTTCTCTTAATCGTGTTTATTTTGTATCATCACAGGCTATTTTCTGTAATTCGGCTTGCGGTTCTCGTACTTAGACGGTCTCTGGACGCGGCTCTGAAGCTGCGAAGTTTCTGAACTGAAAAAGCTACGAGGGATAAGAAAATGTAACGTAGGAGGCTCAATACATACGGTACAATTATTTATTCATTACAAATGCACCAGAAGGAGTCATTAAGTACATACAGCGATCTATCAAGTTGGTCATTTGCAATAGTAATTTCGCAATAGTCATTTGCGACGTAATGTCGAATGTGGCACTTTCCACTTTCGCAGTAGAAGTGCAATCTATGAGATGCACGATCGCTTTAGGTCGCGGCGGAGAATACCGTCCGCATGCGCTCTTGCACGCTAAATATACCGTATTAAAGTCTGTAAAATCTGTAAGCGCGCCCATCATCGGAAGTGAGCGCGCTAACCATCAACGGGAGTGAAACGAGCTCGTATTTTTTTCGATAATTATAAAATACATACGTCTAAAGTCCACACAAAGGTGAATCACACAACATACGTGAAGAAGAACATTCGGTTTACTTGAATGCGAAGTCAACGGTTGTTAAGTTGCGCTCCGTTGAGAATAGACTATTTGAATTAATGATTTGGCAACAAACTGACGACTAGGTGCTGCTCATTGCCTTCTAATTAGGAGAGGCCACAAGAGTAAAATTGCCACGCTGGACAATGGATTAAATACCGATGTATTTGAGCAATCAATTAATTTACGCGATCACGACAACGATTTATGATTTACGATTCTCAAGCACCTTAGCGAGAAATATTTTGGCAATTATAAACTTTTGAAGAATCTGAAACTTTGCAAAAAAAAAGTAGAAAACAAATACGAATTTAACAACACAATTATTTTCTGTTTCGGTTGGAACAGTTTTAAGGGTGAAAACATGCCTCCGAAAAAAATATAAACAAATTTTTTATATTCCTGTTAATATCTTTGGAACCATAACAAATATTGGAAAAACGTTAATTGATGTATATGTGAATTAAGTTTTTTTAAATTATATTTTATAGTTTCTTAAATATTGGCAAAAAAATATGAAATATCATATTTTCTTTCAATGAATATTTTTATTTCTAGGATCACTTCATAAGGTCAAAACAGAAAATAAGTTTAGGTTCACGTTAATTTTATTTCTGTAAAGTTTCTGATTTTTCAGGGTTTGATGGTTGCGTAATCAGGTTGTTTAATATTTGAGAATAATATGTAGAGAAAGAGAGAGAATATAGCAGTATTTTTGTTGAATTTTCCTTGTAAATGACAATTACATAACAACGTCATCAAATGACAATTACATAACAAGTTAGCGCGACAGTATTTGTTAGATTTTTTTGCAAAACAATAGAAGCGCGAAAGTGCTTGCTGTCAGTTGCCTTCAATCTTTATTGATCCGTCGCTTGACGACCGACTGCTTCGCACTCGCTGGTTCTTCTCACGCATATCTACACAACACTTGTAATCATGTCACAACAACATATATATATATATATATATATATATATATATATTTTTTTTTATATAACTTTCTAACATATAGAGCCTTTTTCAAAGCTTAGTCATGAAATATTTTTGTAAATAGTCACACGTGTTATACGCGCGGAGTCTTTGGCAACTATAGATTCTTCAGTAAATTTGTTTGAAAACATCATTCACCATGAGCTCTCAAATTGCGATAATAGATATCTCGATAATCAGGTAACGCGAATACGCGGATCACACTTGGCGAGATTTGCTGCGGTACGTAGCATTTTTACGATACGAAATTTCCTGAAGAAGTTCAAGCGTAGGGAAGTAGAATCTCTCGACGGGAAAATTTCACGGGAAACACGCTTTTCGTGGGAAAACTCCGCTCTAACAACAAGTACCCGTTGTTCTATAATAGTTTCTCTAAAGACCGATATCCTCAGGCCTGAGTACAATCTCAGTTCAGAAGTATACTCTAAAGTTTGGTCAGAGTCCTTACGTTACACTAAATTGATCGTAACCTCGAGATTACGTAACTAAGTACTCTATTAATTACGCAGACGCACAGGTGAGTTAAAGTTTGCTATCGCTCGAACGTGAGAGTACACCTACACGACAGAGAAAGTCAGTTGGACGTGTTTGTACGGTATATCGCAAAAAGACATCTTTGAAATATTAAGTTGCCTTCTGCAGATTCGTCCGTGATCTATTTATCATGTCCGCGTGTTAAGCTATTAATAACCCTCTCGATCATCAAAGTTCATCTTGATTTCAGTCCCGCTGGAGGGAAGTCTATAGAAAATTATATGGAAGGTAACACGCGCTTGACACCGAAACTGTTTCAGGAAACACTCTGTTATGAGTCAGTTAGAATGCGCGTTCTCCCGTGGAAGATACATTCAATACATGGAAGATACATTCAACGCAAAAGCGCCCTATAACCGTCGCATCGGCTGCAACACCGACCAGACGAGAACCAGTCGACCAATATCGATCGGTACGAGAGAATGATTTCTGGAGAATTCTCGCGCGATTCCCCGCGGTCGCCGGAAAGGAAACGAAGATACGCGAGATCGAAATTTTATCGCCACTCGTGGCAATCTTGTGACAAAAACGGGCGTGGTCGATAGACGAGGAAGTTAATCATAGCAAATGCACCGGCGCGATGGAGTTATCTACGCCATTATAAAATCCACCGTGGACTCCCTCGCGCTTGACGGTTGAAAAAAGCTGTGTTTTAATTTAGAGTGATTAAATGCAGCAGAAGGACGGTGCAGTCTCGCAATTTTCACTGTTTTTTTGGTTTCATTGCCAATGCTTTTACAAAATGAAACTGCAAATGTTAATGCACGGAAAGACAACAAACATTGGTCAAGAACAAAAGAAAAATTCGCAAGTAAAAGAAATCTCTTTGATTTCAAACTCTAATATTTGAACAGACTAAGCCAGGTTAACCTTCTGCGGCGTACTTCTTTTCATAATCTGTGAGTTACTTCTGATCACTCACTTGAATCGTAAAGTTTGTGCGCCATGTACCTTAATATTATAATAAATACTGCGAACTATGTTCATTCTCTGGGCGGTGTTCAATTATTTGGACAGGTCACTTCACTTCGCGAGAAAGACGAAGTACGACGTGCGCGATGTGTGCAATTACTATTTTAATTTTATTTTATTCTTATATTTGACAAAGGGAAGTCGATGCATTATCATGTGATTTACGGTGCGATGAAGAATCGAATCGTGCAAACGCGTGTAATGCGCGCAATCGTCGTAAATCAGCGCGGTTTCACTGAAGGCGAGAATTTTCCACTCGGGAACACTGACGGGAGAAAACAGAAAAAGAGAAAGAGAGAAGAACAAAGAGACTTTCATTTGCCCCGAGTTAAAGTGGTGAGTGAATAACGAGAATGTCTTTTTCCCGAGCGCTGTCATCCGCAGACGTGACGGGAATACCTGGGATGCAACGCAGTTATCTAAATGACATCGTAAATACGCGTATAAAACGTTTCGATCTTTTAGACGTTCCTCTGTACTTTCTTCTTTCTATTATTATTACCCGAGGGGGAAAAGCGGGATATGCGCGTGTTCTCGCGTGAGTGGATGAAAGCCAACTCGCGTGGGCGACACGTGCAATCCTGCTGTTGTTATGTCACTATCTCCGACATTTGTAGAGCTTCTAAAAGCAACATTTGTACAAAACAAATGTATCACAAAATGATTATATCATTCGTATACTTTTTTAAAATTTCCAGCGTATACGATGATTAAATTACTAATTATATCTCATTCGCTCTACACGAAAGATATGACATTCAGATTATTACGGAGACTGCAAGATCTTTAAACTTCAATTTGCGCGATTGCAAAAATTGTGTGTGTGTGTATGTGTGCGAGAAATTGCATGATAATGCGCGCGTAAGATATCTGTATTATTTAAATATTATATACGTACGTTGACGTAAAAATAGATGGATTAAAGAAGAATCGATAGGAGTTCACCTTACGATGACGTCTCTGGTCATCGAAGTCGAAGCACGCGATTTTACTCATTTCGCCGGGATCTTTCAATCTCATCCTCGTCCGTTTGTTTTGATTCGATCGTCGGGAACTGGAGAAACGAAACCTTCCCTCGGAATCAGGATATGTCAGCTTTTTTCCGTTCTCCTTCCGTCTGAATACGGAAATTCGACGTTTTCGCGAGCAACAATTTCTCTCGATCGACTTTAACTCACCTAGATTTTCACGACAATTAGACTGCCTTTTTTATCTGTGCAGCGCAAGATTGAAATGTGCTTCACGTTTCCGGACCAAACGGTGCGAGAGAAGCCCGTTATGTCGTCTTCCGAGCGCGTTTCTCTCGCTCGTTTTCCTTCGCGGGCGAGATAGAGACGTGAATATGTGGGGATTAAGGATGGTTCATTGACTATAGATACACTCGCATGTATCTACCGTACATTCCCACCTGGATTACAAAGCTCTCAGCTGCGTGTCTCTCGAATTCGAGGTCACAATTTGTCGAACGTCAGAGCGTACACCTCTACTCAAGCGTTTTTGCGCTCGTGTGGCCGCAAAATCGTAAATTTGATGTTACACGCCGTGTCGACTATGTCGTTCTTCCATTTAGATAAGCAACCTTTTAAGTTATCAGACTTCAAGCCGCAAGATCTCGCCGTTGTCGTCGTTATCGTCGTCTTACCTTTCCTCCGGAGAGTTTTATTT